TATTAGACCTCAAAGAGAGTACACACATACACACACAAAGGAAACCTTCTTACAAAAGATCTCATTCATAAGTTGATTTTTAAAATAAGAAATAGGGAGAGGGACCAAGATGGCCAAATAGGAAGAGCTCCAGTCTGCAGCTCCCAACAAGACCAACGCAGAAGGTGGGTGATTTCTACATTTCCAGTTGAGGTACCCACTTCATCTCACTTGGAATGGCTAGGCAGTTGATCCAACCCACAGAGGGTGAGCAGAAGTAGGGTGGGACATCGCTTCACCCAGGAAGTTCAAGAAGCCAGGAGACCTCTGTCCCCCAGCCAAGGGAGGCCATGAAGGACTGTGCTACCTGACTGGGTTACTACACTTTTCCCACAGATTTTGCAATTTGCAGATCAGGAGATTCCTTCTTGGGCCCACACCACCAGGGCCCTGGGTTTGAAGCACAAAACTGGGTGACTGTTTGGGCAGACACTGAGCTAGTTGCAGTTTTTTTTTTTCACACCCCAGTGGTGCCTGGAACCCCAGTGAGACAGGCCTGTTTACTCCCCTAGAATGGGGGCTGAAGCCAGGAAGCCAAGTGGTCTCACTCAGCAGGTCCCACTCCCACAGAGCCCAGCAAACTAAGAACCACTGACTTGAAATTCTCACTGTCAGCACAGCAGTCTGAAGTTGACCTGGGACTATCTAGCATAGTAGGGGAGGGGTGTCTGCCATTACTGAGGCTTGAGTAGGTGGTTTTCCCCAACAGTGCTAAGGAAACTGGGAGGTGTGGACTGGGCAAATATACCACAGCATGGTAAAGCAACTGTGACCAGACTGCTTCTCTAGATTCTTCCTCAATGGGCAGGGCATCTCTGAAGGAAAGGGAACAGCCCCAGTCAGATGCTTACAGATAAACTCCCATCTCCCTGGGACAGAGCACCTGGAGGCTGGGGCAGCTGTGGGCGCAGCTTCAGCACATTTAATTGTTCCTGCCTGTTGGTTCTGAAGAGAACAGCTGATCCTGACAAGAGGGATTCTCCCAGCACAGTACACCAGCTCTGCTAAAGGACAGACTGCCTCAAGTGGGTCCCTGATCCCTGAGCCTCGTGACTGGGAGAGACCTCAACAGGGGTCGACAGACACCTCATAGAAGAGAGCTCCAGCTGGCATCCGGCTGGTGCCCCTCTGGGATGAAGCTGCCAGAGGAAGGAGCAAGCAGCAATATTTGCTGCTCTGCAGCCTCCACTGGTGATACCCAGGCAAACGGGGTCTTAAGCAGACCTCCAACAAACTGCATCAGACCTGCAGAAGAGGGGTCCGAGTAAATAGAAAGCAACAACATCAACATCAACATAAAGGACCCCCACGCAAAAACCCCATCCAATGGTCATCAGCCTAAAGATCAAAGGTAGATAAATCCATGAAGATGAGGAAAAACCAATGCAAAAAGACTAAAATTTCCAAAAAACAGAATACCTCTTCTCCTCCAAATGATCATAACTCCTCTCCAGCAAGGGCACAAGACTGGATGGAGAATGAGATTGACAAATTGACAGAAGTAGGCTTCAGAAAGTGAGTAATAACAAACTCCTCTGAGCTAAAGGAGTATGTTCTAACCCAACACATGGAAGATAAGATTTTTAATAAAATGTTACAGGAACTGCTAACTAGAATAACCAGTTTAAAGAAGAACATAAATTACCAATGGAGCTGAAAAACACAGCACAAGAACTTTATAAAACATACACAAGTATCAATAGCTGATTTAATCAAGCAGAAGAAAGAGAAGAAAGGATACCAGAGACTGATGATCAACTACTGAAATAAGGCGTGAAGACAAGATTAGAGAAAAAACAAGGAAAAGGAACAAATAAAGCCTTGGAGAAATATGGGACTATGTGAAAAGACCAAACCTATGTTCGATTGGTGTACCTGAAAGTGATGGGGAGAATGGAACCAAGATGGAAAACATTCTTCAGGATATCATCCAGGAGAACTTCCCTAACCTAACAAGACAAGCCAATATTCAAATTCAAGAAATACAGAAAACACCACTAAGATACTCCTTGAGAAGAGCAACCCCAAGACACATAATGGTCAGATTCTCCAAGGTTGAAACAAAGGAAAAAATGTTAAGGGTAGCCAGAGAGAAAGGTCAGGTTACCTACAAAGGGAAGCCCATCAGACTAACAGCAGGTCTGTCTGAAGAAACCCTACAAGCCAGAAGAGACTGGGGAACAATATTCTACATTCTTAAAATAAAAGAATTTTCAACCCAGAATTTCATATCCAGCCAAACTAAGCTTCATAAGTGAAGGAGAAATAAATCCCTTCCTGACAAGCAAATGCTGAGGGATTTTGTCAGCACCAGGCCTGTCTTACAAGAGCTCCTGAAAGAAACACTGAATATGGAAAGGAAAAACTGGTACCAGTCACTGCAAAAACATACTAAAATATAAAGACCAAACAACAAAGTCAAATTTTCTCTGTTTGCAGATGACATGATTGTAGATTTAGAAAACCCCATCGTCTCTGCCCAAAAACTCCTTAAGCTGATAAGCAACTTCAGTGAAGTCTCAGGATACACAATCAATGTGCAAAAATCACAAGCATTCCTATACACCAACAATAGACAAGCAGAGAGCCAAATCATGAGTGAACTCCCATTCACAATTGCTACAAAGAGAGTAAAATACCTAGGAATACAACTTACAAGGGACATGAAGGACCTCTTCAAGGAGAACTACAAACCACTGCTTAAGGAAATAAGAGAGGACACAAACAAATGGAAAAAAAAATGTCATGCTCATGGATAGGAAAAATCAATATTGTGAAAATGGCCCTATTGCCCAAAGTAATTTATAGATTCAATGCTATTCCCCCTAATCTACCAATGACTTTCTTCGCAGAATAGAAAAAACTACTTTAAATTTCATATGGAACCAAAAAAGAGCCTATATAGCCAAGACAATCCCAAGGAAAAAGAACAAAGCTGGAGGCATCACGCTACCTGACTTCAAACTATACTACAAGGCTACAGTAACCAAAACAACAGGGTACTGGTACCAAAACAGATATATAGACCAATGGAACAGAACAGAGGCCTCAGAAATAACACCACACATCTACAACCATCTGATCTTCAAGAAACCTGACAAAAACAAGCAACGGAGAAAAGATTCCTTATTTAATAAATGGTACTGGGAAAACTGGCTAGCCATAGGCAGAAAACAGAAACTAGACCCTTTCCTTACACGTTATACAAATATTAACTCAAGATGGATTAAAGACTTAAATGTAAAACCCCAAACCATAAAAACCCTAAAAGAAAACATAGGCAATACCATTGAGGACATAGGCATGGGTAAAGACTTCATGTCTAAAACACCAAAAGTAATGGCAACAAAAGTCAAAATTGACAAATGGGATCTAATCAAACTAAAGAGCTTCTGCACAGCAAAATAAACTATCATCAGAGTGAACAGACAACCTACAGAATGGGAGAAAATTTTTGCAATCTACCCATCTAATAAAGATCTACTATCCAGAATCTACAAAGAACTTAACAATACAACAAAGAAACAACTCCATCAAAAAGTGGGCAAAGGATATGAACAGACACTTCTCAAAAGAAGACATTTATGTGGCCAAAAAACATATGAAAAAAACCTCATCATCACTCGTCATTAGAGAAATGCAAATCAAAACCACAATCAGATACCATCTCACTCCAGTTAGAATGGCGATCATTAAAAATTCCTGAAACAACAGATGCTGGTGAGGGTGTGGAGAAATAGGAACACTTTTACACTGTTGGTGAGAGTGCAAATTAGTTCAATCATTGTGGAAGACAGTGTGGTTATTCCTCAAGGACCTAGAACCAGAAATACCACTTGACCCAGCAATCCCAGTACTGGTTATATACCCAAAGGATTATAAATCATTCTGCTATAAAGACACATGCACATGTATGTTTATTGCAGCACTATTTACAATAGTAAAGACTTGGAACCAATCCAAATGCTTATCAATGATAGACTGGATAAAGAAAATGTGGCACATATACACCATGGAATACTATACAGCCATAAAAAAGAATGAGTTCACATCCTTTGCAGGGACATGGAAAAGCTGGAAGCCATCATTCTCAGCAAACTAACACAGGAACAAAAAAACTAAACACCACGTGTTCTCACTCATAAGTAGGAGTTGGACAATGAGAACACATGGACACAGAGAGAGGAACATCACACACTAGGGCCTGTCAGTGGGGTGAGGAGTTAGGGGGAAAGGAGAGGGAGAGCATTAGGACAAATACCTAATGCATGTGGGGCTTAAAACCTAGATGACGGGCTAATAGGTGCAGTAAACCACCATGACACATGGATACCTATGTAACAAACCTGCACATTCTCAACATGTACCCCAGAAGTTAAAGTAAAATAAAACTTTTTTAAAAATCTATTAATATATCTGATATAAAAGCTCAAGATTTTAAAATATTCTATCAATGAGGTAAAAGGTTCAAAAGGTGAAAAATGTGGGTATATAAATTAACCCAAGTTAAAGATTAAAAAAGGAATTACATAAGAGAAACACAGAAGAGAAAATGAGGGGAAAAAGAGCACAGAATTTGAAAATAAGAAATATGCATGAAGAATAAAACTGTCAGGAGTGAGGACCAAGGAAAATCCTTCGGTTTGTATTCTGCTCCAAGGGCAGGGAATTGGGTTCTCTCTGATTTATCTCTTTCCACCAATTCATAATTCATGCTGTGGCAGGCCAGGTCTCACTAACAACAATTTCAGTACTGACTGAGTGGTTAAGTTAAATAGTAAAAGCCAGTGCCCTTCTACAAAGGCTGGGATGTAACAAAAGCCCACCAAGATTTTGGCTGAGGCCTTTCCTGGGCCTTAAAGCATGACAAAATAACGAAGGAATTCTTAACAGGACCCATTTAGGATTAAACAAGTTTTATTGTGGGTCTGAGGAAACTCCCCAGGCCTCCACAGACAAGTTTGTTGGGGGTCTGAAGGAACTCCTCAAACCTCCATGATTTAGCAGGAGACAAGATAAGGTCAATCACCCCAGCACGTGGACCCATTTAGATGAAGTAAATGTACTGAGACTCCAGAGGAAGGTCTTCAGGACTCAGACCTTAGTTATAGATTAAAAGAAGTTAATCACTTATGTCTTTAGATGAATGCACACTTATATGTAGACAAATAGCTTAGGAAAACTGTACAAGCTTTGGAAAACTGTAATTTTGAGTTGGTCTGGTGATAATTTCCAGGTCTTCTCCATGTAACTGGTTACAGAAATAAAAACTCTCCTCCTCCCCAGTTCATCTGCATCTTGTTATTGTGCTGCGAGAAATAGCAGCCTGACCCTCAGTTTGGCCTGGGATCAAAATGTGGCACACAAGCCAGGAATTAAGGAGAGTGCTGCATTCAGCAGCTGGCAACTTGCTACGAGACAGTCTTCAGGAGGATCCTGGCAGCTGCTGGGTGAGGTGTCCCCAAGGACCCTCCAGAGGGCTGTTGTGCGCAAATCTGCACGTCCTTTTCACTACTGGGGAAAAACAGAGATCAGGAGCAGATGCGCTCAAAGGGTGAGTTAACCAGATTCTACGCCAGGAGCCTACCGTTTTCATATCTGGGCTTGGTAAGCCATTTGTCTGGTACCGCCAAGGGAAGCAATAAGTCTGGCTCATATACCTGCTTTGCATTTTGATTGAGATCAGGTTTTGGGTTGGTTCTGAGTCTGTTTTGCCTGAGTGCACTCCCCCTTGTGTTGTTCAAAATTTGTCTCCACTTGTTTATCTGTCTGATTCCTTTTGTTACCATGTAAACTTGAAAATGGGAGTTATAGGGTACATTCCTGCTGAGAGGCCTCTAGGAAGGATTTTTTTTTTTTTTTTTTTTTTTTTTTAGGAGTTCATTGGTGAAAAGTCAGTTTAATGAAAGCTAACATCTAAGATATGCATATGTATGTGTGCATGTGTACATGTTTGTATTTAAAAGGCCTTCATGGTTTTGTTTTCATTTATCTTCTAGGACCTTGTGTTTTTGAGAAAAGGTGGGTTTTTTTTTCTTCTCAGTTAACTGAATTCTGTTTTCTTCATTAATAGCTATTACAACAAAAGCTACTGTGAGGTTTTTAAGAAAATTAAGTGTAATTTAGACACTTAGAAATGTCTTTGTTTACGGAAAAAAAAAAAAAAATGTAAGCGCATTGTAAAAGCCTCACATGGTCTAGCCTCAGAATAATTCTCCCTCTTTGAAAACCCAGGATTCAGTGTAGGACCTGCCCAGAACTCAAAGATCCAGTTAAAAGACAGGAAAAAGGAGGTCTTCTGAATCTATAAAATGTACTTCTATTGGCATGCCTAATACGTCTGTGTATTTATGTCTTGTGTACACCATGTTTCATGACTGAAAATATATAAAAGTTCTGATTAATTGGCTCAAAGAAAAATAAAAGCACTTAAATACTTTAACAACAAAAAGGAAAGACTAGTCAAATGCTTTTTCAAGTTTCTGTGACTTAAGTAAAACCTTTAATAAATAAGCTAGCTTTAAAAATTATTGGTAAAGTAATATTAAAAATATCTTAAGAGTTGCTAGCATACATTTTTGTTTGCAGTTATTAATCAAGGAATTTCATACTTATCTCTTCCAAATACTATAAGGTATTTGGCAGAGAGGCTACAAAACTATAACTCAGCCCAGAACAGAATGATCTTTACTTGCATAATTTTTAATAAACAAAACATTAATATTGGTTTAATGAACATAGCTACATTTTAAACTATTTAGTAAAATACCCTAACTTCTAATCCTGTGGTCTTAGGCAGGCTAGACTACAAACATGAAGGAAGTTTGTTCTGAGGAAGGACTGTTATCATCTTTGTTTCAGTGCTAAACTATAAACTAAGTTAATGAATAAGAATAGCTTGGAGGTTAGAAGCAAGATGGAGTCAGTTAGGTCAGATCATTTTTGCTGTCTGAGTTATAATTTTGCAATGGTGGTTTTATAATTTTAAATGATGACTTTTGCAATTTTCATAAATAATCTAGGTAAATTATTAAAACAAATAATTAGATAAATGTAATGGGATAAATGCTCATAAACAAACTTGTCATTATTTGGTGTTTCCCAATAAAAATATATTGTAGGAAAATGTTCTTTCTAAAGATTGTATCCTTTTTAAAGGGTAAGTAATTTTTGTCTAATTCAAAGCTTATTTAAAGGTTATATATAAAACAAGGTAAAAGAAATCAGGAAATAAGAGAGATATAAAGAAAGTGATAAAACTAAAGAGTTTGAAAAAGTATTGGTAAAATTAAAATATCTTCAAAAGTGTCAACATTTGGCCTAAATTATGCAGGTAAAATATTACACTTGCTAAATGTTTTGGATCATAAACTGCTTCTTTGACTTAAAAATTGTTAATTTATTTTAGAGAATTAAATTCCAGATAAGGCCTGGGACACATGGAGTTAGACACTGGAATAAGTAAGACCTTATCTACACTTCTGTGTGGGTCCTAGGCTGCACACCTAGTACATAATTAAATCACAGAATTACCAAGGTTTTCACCATAAGTAAAGGTTGCTAAGAGTTAACAGTGTAACATGTATTTAAGACTATTGAAGAAACAGTTTACATGCAAGGTGTGTAAGGATAGTAAAATATACTTTTGGTTAAAAGATTGTAAGGCGGCACGAGAAAGTGGATTTTTGCCTTTTAAAGGTTAAAGGATTGTTTTAAGTGAATAAAATACAGATGAAGGTTTAAGCAAGCTGTGGAAGGTTAATTGTAAAGGAAATTCTTTGTGTAAACATATTGGTTAGAGTTAAAGTAGTATCATTCAGTTTTTCTGTAAATTGAGCATTAAAATGAAAGCACAATGGATTTCTCTTAGCGCTCTAAACTGCTCTTTAACAAAAATTGTAAAGGGTTATAAAAGATCTATAAAAATCTTACTTTATGATCAAACATTAAAATTGAGTAAATATATCTGTAAGGATTTATTAAGAATTGGGTTTAACATTAATAGTACACTAATGTAAAAGTAAAATTTGGCTTATTTGGTGTAAAAATCATACAGAAAACATTGTCAAAAATGAGATGGTGTTTGGTTTTCTTTAGGCTATATTTGTATAAATATGTTATTGGGATATGTTCCAAAATCATGTGAAACTCCTATCATTCTGATATGTCTTAGTGTACATTTTCAGTAATAATTATAACTGTTATGTTAAATTATTGTGTGCCACAGAGGTAACAGATCTCCTTGTCAATTATTGTCTTGTTTTGGTCCTCTTTAGAAGGTGCTCTTGAATGCAGGTTTCTAATAACTTTGGAGATTATGACATCGGAATAGAGGAAAAACATTCAGGACTCTTGAAGAACTAAAATATTCATTAATATCAAGCAGGATGGGAATTAACTGCATGAACTGAACTGATAGGAGACTGAAGTGATCTTTTTGACTTTTTGCTTAAAATGCTGCTGATCCTTTGTTTTGCTTTTCAGAGTCAAGGAAGCTTTTCTTTCGTGCTACTAACAGCTTTTAACAATTAAATAAAGTATACTCCTATGAACAAAATTTGGAGTACGTTTGTTTCTCTCTGACTGGTCCCTCTAGAATTTGGAAACTATCTGTGAGTATTCTTAATTCAGGGCAATATAATTATTTGCGTAAGTGCAATAAAAATCTGTTTTCTTTTGTAACATGTCACAGTTGGAACACCTGGTTATTTTAACAAGGCTTTGACTGGAATGGTACGCTCTTGTTTAAGGAATCAAACAACTTATGGAGCCAATAAAGCCCTTGGAAACCTGGCCTCATATTTTGTGTACACAGTCCCTGTACAGGGTTTCTGATGTGTGGTAAGTATAGAATGTCACTTTCTGATGGGTCAGGAGCCTCAAGTTATCTTGGAACCTCAAGAGGAGAGGAAGTCACCCAACTCATAAGTATTTGATGGAACAAATCCATGACTGGGTTCATCTTTAAAAAAGTCTTATCCCGGATTCCTTCTATGGAACAAAGTTCCATCAAAGACAATATAAAAGGCCTATGTGAAAAATAATTATTCTTGCAGCACTGTATATAAATAATCAGACCAAATATAATAACGCAAACCAGGCCTACTATGATTTGTCTTTTAATAAAAATGGGAAACTGAAGAAAGAAAAAATATTTTTCAAAAAATATAGTACACCTGTTGTTAAATTCTACTCTTGCGTGATGTTTTTCCTATGATTTCAGCATCTGCATCACCTGGGAACTCAGAGATGCAGATTCTCAGGCTCTACTGAGACAGAGTCTGTGGGTGGGAATCGGAAATCTGTGCTTTAACAAGCCCTGGGGGATACCGATGATGCTAATGTTTAAGATGTCTGGTTTACATGATCTTCACTATTGCATTTTCACTTAATCAAGTATTGCTAGAATACAGACTCTAGAGTCAGATGACATAGATCTGAATCTCAGCTCTACCCCTTAAAGATGCTTTATGACCTTGTACATGTTATCGGCCTCTTTACACCACAGTTTCCTCATTTGTTAAAGGGAGATGGCATCCTCGTTGATAAGCCCCCTGCCCACTGTGTCTTCCCTCTCCTCCCCTTCTTCACAGAGTTAGAGGAGTTAGATTCCTCACATTTCTGTATGTACTTCAGTGGTTCTCCTGCATTTTCAGAAAGCAATCAAACTCCCAGCCATAGCATCCAAGGCCTCTCAAGACTATCCAGCACATTCCTTACCATTCATTTCTCCCCTTGCTGCTTTCACACCAGCAGGACTAAATGCCTTACAGCTGACTTCCAAGGGGAGCCACATCATTTCAAATTGTCACTTGCCTGGTCTGTGGCTCATTCTGGATCACTCCTCTACCACCCAGAACACCACCAGCCATCCCTTCAGATCCCACCTCTTCAGTGAAGCTCCCGCAACACCCTCTCTTCTCTTCCCCGTCTTCTGCAGAAACGATCAGTTCTTCCACTGGATTATCACCCCATCTGACACATAAACCAGTTATGAGGCTGAAGCTCCTTGAGGGTGAGAGGCATTTTCTCAGGCCTTTGACAGGAAGCGCAGTAGCTGACACACAGAAGCATGCTCTCACTGAGCTTTTCCTCACAGAAGGGGTGAGAAAAATGGGAAGTGAGATGCTAGTGGACTTATCTGAATCTTCCACTAGGCTATAAGCTTTGTGAGAGTGGCAACACCGTCTCACACAGTGGTCCCCAACCTCTCTGTTAGATTCTCATAAGGAACACGCAACCCAGATCTCTTGCATACACACAGTTCATGGTAGGGTTCATGCTCCTATGCGAATGTAATGCGGGAATACTCACCGCTGCTCACCTCCTACTGAGTGATCCAGTTCCTAACAGGCTACAGACTGGTGCCCGGGCCATGGCCGAGCCTTGGGGATCCCTGGTCTAAAACATTTTATCACTGTGTCTCCGATGCTACCTCAGTGCCGATTACACAATAAATGCCCAGATATTGATTGAATAAATGAATAATGGAAATTTAACGATCAGCACCAAAATGGAGTCACTTCTTCATGAGAAGGCAGGAAATAGAATTGGATGAGGAATATTATTTACTGTGACATCAAGCACTGCCTGTAAATGATCTCATGTATCCTCCCAATTTGTGTAAGTTGGAATTTATGGTGCCTCTGTAAGAGAGGATAAAGCTGAGACAAAACAGTGGAAGTAATTCACCAAAGGTTAAACTAAGGTCAGAGGTCAGATTTGAAGTCAAGTCGGTCTGAAATAAAAAATTCTGCTAAATTGCTTGAAACTATTTTCCCTAAGAAACTTATTACTTTATTACTTCAGTAGTAGGAATAAGGGACAATGCCAGTAACTGGATGCCAGAGAGAAAAACGTGAGAGTGACCAAAAAAAAAAAAAAAAAAAGGAACAAAAGCATGGGAGATTTGGGTGATTGCAGTGAATCAATGGAATCAATGACCTAAGAGAAACAAAGGGGAAAGTCAAAATGGGGAATAAAATATAAGGAAAAGGAGCCCAGGGAGGACAGCCAATGACAAAAGTTGAGCTCAAGGAGCCTGTTAAGGGCAGGAAATGCTCAACAGTTTTGGAAACAATTTGAACACTATCAAAAGCAAACCCACAGAGCCTTTCTGCAACTTCAGCACCTCCGACTGCTAAGCAAGTTACAGTAAAATCCAGAAGTAGGGCAGAAGCGCAGCTCTGCGTGGGAGTTCAAAGCCACGTCAGCTCCAGGCCAGGGGGATTGCCCTGGGTGGGGACAGCCAGGGACCTATGCAGGGTGTGAGTGTTTCATCAGAAGCGAGCAGGGACACAGTCCCCAGGGCACAGTCAGCTGGAGCACACTGTCTTCATTTCAGGGAGCTGGAGGAGGAATGAGGAAAAATATAAAGCGAAGATGATAGTACAGGCAACAGCTTTATGATTCTAGGGCTTCAAATATGACTTAAGATTTGAAGGGCGGGAAGGATGCAGATGAGTGTAGAGGGGAGAAGAGGGTCTTTTAGGAGGAAAAACACCAGGAGCAAAGGCGATAGAGTGGGAATTATTGCTTAGGGTGTGTGAGCATGCAAGCATCTGTGCAAGGGGTGAGGAAAATTGACTGGGGTACCTATAATACATTTGTCTTGGGAAATGAAAGGAAACAGGACTAAATATATACTTTAAAAAAATCTCTAGCCTAATTTGGACTGAAGTGTTACATGGAGTATATCTTTCAGATCATAGCATTAGTTTAAAACTAAATGTAATTTTAGAGAACCTCCAGCATAAACACCTCATAAAATGGGACCAGTTAGTTTATGTGGCTTGATAAGGAAGTTTGAAAATAAAAACAATACATTTTTTGTTGTTAAATGCTAAATGAGTTAAAGAATAGTGTTTACTATTAGGGCATTTCTGGGAAATACAAGGCCTCTCTCCCTCCCTCTTTCCCCCTCTCTCTCTCTCTTCCTATGTCTCTCCCTCCCTCCTTCCCTCCTTCCCTTCCTTTCTTCTTCTCTTCCTTCTTCTCTTCTCTCTTACCCTTCCTTCCTCCGTCTTCTCTCTCTTCCTTCTTTCCTTCCTTCTTTCTTTCCTCCATTACTATGTACTAAATACCAACTGTATGCCAAGCACATAATAAAGGAACATGACTGGCATAATCATTGACTAAATGCAGCTTCTCCAGTAAGAGATGAGAGGGTGGGAGTTGTGGGGGTTGAGGCTGGTGCAAGACTGCCTCTGTCCAATTCAATAAGCTTGATTCGGCTCTTTTTCATCCAAGTAAGACAAGGCTCAGTAGGTTGTACTCAGCTTTCATTTCTATTTCTGAGTTTATTAAATAACTTTCCATAAAAATAGCTAAGCTTAACAAGAATTAAAATGATGCAAGCAGTTTGTAGATTAGTAAATGTAGTGACAAAACATGTGGGAAGGGTTCAGTCTCTGTAATAATTACAAGAAAAACAGTTTAAAACAAGTATTGCATATTTATTGAATTAGTTAAAAAAATAAATTTATTTAACATAATTATATATAAAATAACGAATTAGTTCAACCACTTTGGAGAGCTATCTGGCAGTGTAAGAGCTACAGGATTCATTATACCTATGATTTAGTCCTCTCATTTTGACCATATATTTTAAGAAAAAATAAACAAATAAAAGGTGAAAAATCACAAATAATACTGCTTGTGATAGTTTCAAAACTTGAACAAGCTCCAGAGAACTGGCAATTTCCATGGCTTCCTTGCTATTCCCTAGAGCTTCTGTCCAATATCCAGTCTTCACTCTCATCCTCCCTAATCCATCTTCCAGATAGAGGACACATTTTCTCATGAAAGTATCCAATAAAACTCAATATACTCATTATATAATTATTTTAAAAGTCAATACAAATAGAAAGTGACTATTTACATGTCAAAACTGTTCTCTCTTTATAAGTGAATTCATTACAGGTTGGCTCATTTAAATGACAAATCTCCTCTGGCATTTACCAGTGTGATTTTTAGAGTAATTATTTGACAGAGAGGCTGGGATCAGAAAAGGGTCTACAGAACTACCTGATAAAATATCATCAGATATTAAAACCAAACTCCACTTAAATGATTAAAAAGACAAAGAGGAAGTTGAATTTTAGTATCACATGTAACACAGGGATTCCTCAACCTATGATAACATGAGCAGCCTGTGAGAGTCACCAAGGTGTAGGCATATGAGGACGTGAGGAAAGCCCTGGGCCCACATTTTCCCAAGGTCATTCTGCAGACAATACTTCTGGAAATGGTAGTAGTGTCCTTTGCTTCCCAAAGGGTTTGGGGGCCAAACTAATCTGAGGACAACTTGGAAAAACAAAGCAAAAATGTTGGCTTCTCACAAGATTTGGGATTCTGTATATTTCCAAGAGGGGAAACTGCACTGAAGCAGTTCTCAAATTTGTTAAAGGAATCCTGTTTGCCAGAAGCATCTGGAGGGTTGATGTCAGGTAGAAGCCACTTAAGAGAACACTGGGATTTGTATTTAATTAACTTTGTGAGAAAAACATTCTGTAAAACTTTAAACAAACGATAATTACACTCGTAATCCTAGCACTTTGGGAAGCCAAGGCAGGCAGATCGCCTGAGCTCAGGAGTTCTTGACCAACCTGACCAACAAGGTAAAACCCTGCCTCTACTAAAGTACAAAAAAAAAAAAAAAAAAAAAAAAAAGAAATTATCTGGGCATGGTGGTGGGCGCCTGTAGTCCCAGCTCCTTGGGAGGCTGAGGCATAATAATTGCTTGAACCCAGGAGGCAGAGGTTCCAGTTAGCCGAAAACGCACCACTGCCCTCCAGCCTGGGTGACAGGGCAAGGCTCAGTCTTAAAAAAAAAAAAGAAAACAAAAAAAAAAAAAAAAAAAGCTAACTACATTTATTATGTTTTGTCCTCTGATCTTTAATATTTTACAAAGTTGTAGTCATTGTATACATACTATTTCATACTTAATTTTTTGCTTGACACAGTATTCCATTATTCTTTATTATTTCCAAGTGTTGACACAGTTAACATTGCTATCATTTAAAATATTATATATCTACAATTTTGAAACAGCATAAAGCACACAACTATTCTCAATTCATTTCAATAGACATGTATTACTAACTGTTTAGAATCTGAGGTTCTTGACACCTTTCCTGCCGCAAAACATCTCAGGGGTAAAATACAATCTCATCACCAATATTGGCTCACTCTGGCCATTGTTTCAGAGTCTTCTGGGTTAGAGGAGGGCTGGGGTGGGGGTTGTAATTGCTAAGAGACTCATAACCACACATGATTTTCATTGCCCCTCTCCACTACTGTCCTAGTTGAGAATCTCTGTCTTAGACACTATGAATCAGACACAGTCCCAGTTCTTAAGAAGTTCACAAAAAGTCAGATATAGATACATAGACACACATATGCAGGTGCACACACAATACTATAACATAAGGCTGGGTGTGAGGTAAGATGAGGTCATATTAAAATAAATAAATAAATAAATAAATAAATAAATAAATAAATAAATAAAAATTCTAGGATGCTCCACAGAGAAGAAAAATGACTTTTGCTTGGAATCTTTGGAATGAATTTTAAGGAAGACAT